TTTGTTAAGCTTAGAAAGGGCAACTCAGAACAGCTTTCCAAATTGTATTTCATGCGTTTTTGGCCGAGTTATGACGGTTTTTGTAATTTTTTGCTTATATGTTTAATAAATTATAGGTAAGTATTTTAGCAAAACTGAGTATGCAGTTTTGTTAAGCTTAGAAAGGGCAACTCAGAACAGCTTTCCAAATTGTATTTCATGCGTTTTTGGCCGAGTTATGACGGTTTTTGTAATTTTTTGCTTATATTTTTAATAAATTATAGGTAAGTATTTTAGCAAAACTGAGTATGCAGTTTTGTTAAGCTTAGAAAGGGCAACTCAGAACAGCTTTCCGAATTGAATTTCATGCGTTTTTGGCCGAGTTATGAGCTAAATAGCAAAATAGCTAGATGAGCATCACTGGCAGCTAGTGAGATGCCTATAATTTATAAAAAAGCCCCATAACTCGGCCAAATATGCATGAAATTCAATTTTGAAAGCTGTTCTATGCTGCCTTTTCAAGCTTAACAAAACTGCATACTCAGTTTTGCTAAAATACTTGCCTATCAAAATGTGAACCAACACAACTCGGCCAAAAATGCATGAAATTCAAAACCTAGTATGCAGTTTTGTTAAGCTTAGAAAGGGCAACTCAGAACAGCTTTCCAAATTGTATTTCATGCGTTTTTGGCCGAGTTATGACGGTTTTTGTAATTTTTTGCTTATATGTTTAATAAATTATAGGTAAGTATTTTAGCAAAACTGAGTATGCAGTTTTGTTAAGCTTAGAAAGGGCAACTCAGAACAGCTTTCCAAATTGTATTTCATGCGTTTTTGGCCGAGTTATGACGGTTTTTGTAATTTTTTGCTTATATTTTTAATAAATTATAGGTAAGTATTTTAGCAAAACTGAGTATGCAGTTTTGTTAAGCTTAGAAAGGGCAACTCAGAACAGCTTTCCGAATTGAATTTCATGCGTTTTTGGCCGAGTTATGAGCTAAATAGCAAAATAGCTAGATGAGCATCACTGGCAGCTAGTGAGATGCCTATAATTTATAAAAAAGCCCCATAACTCGGCCAAATATGCATGAAATTCAATTTTGAAAGCTGTTCTATGCTGCCTTTTCCAAGCTTAACAAAACTGCATACTCAGTTTTGCTAAAATACTTGCCTATCAAAATGTGAACCAACACAACTCGGCCAAAAATGCATGAAATTCAAAACCTAGTATGCAGTTTTGTTAAGCTTAGAAAGGGCAACTCAGAACAGCTTTCCAAATTGTATTTCATGCGTTTTTGGCCGAGTTATGACGGTTTTTGTAATTTTTTGCTTATATGTTTAATAAATTATAGGTAAGTATTTTAGCAAAACTGAGTATGCAGTTTTGTTAAGCTTAGAAAGGGCAACTCAGAACAGCTTTCCAAATTGTATTTCATGCGTTTTTGGCCGAGTTATGACGGTTTTTGTAATTTTTTGCTTATATTTTTAATAAATTATAGGTAAGTATTTTAGCAAAACTGAGTATGCAGTTTTGTTAAGCTTAGAAAGGGCAACTCAGAACAGCTTTCCGAATTGAATTTCATGCGTTTTTGGCCGAGTTATGAGCTAAATAGCAAAATAGCTAGATGAGCATCACTGGCAGCTAGTGAGATGCCTATAATTTATAAAAAGCCCCATAACTCGGCCAAATATGCATGAAATTCAATTTTGAAAGCTGTTCTATGCTGCCTTTTCAAGCTTAACAAAACTGCATACTCAGTTTTGCTAAAATACTTGCCTATCAAAATGTGAACCAACACAACTCGGCCAAAAATGCATGAAATTCAAAACCTAGTATGCAGTTTTGTTAAGCTTAGAAAGGGCAACTCAGAACAGCTTTCCAAATTGTATTTCATGCGTTTTTGGCCGAGTTATGACGGTTTTTGTAATTTTTTGCTTATATGTTTAATAAATTATAGGTAAGTATTTTAGCAAAACTGAGTATGCAGTTTTGTTAAGCTTAGAAAGGGCAACTCAGAACAGCTTTCCAAATTGTATTTCATGCGTTTTTGGCCGAGTTATGACGGTTTTTGTAATTTTTTGCTTATATTTTTAATAAATTATAGGTAAGTATTTTAGCAAAACTGAGTATGCAGTTTTGTTAAGCTTAGAAAGGGCAACTCAGAACAGCTTTCCGAATTGAATTTCATGCGTTTTTGGCCGAGTTATGAGCTAAATAGCAAAATAGCTAGATGAGCATCACTGGCAGCTAGTGAGATGCCTATAATTTATAAAAAAGCCCCATAACTCGGCCAAATATGCATGAAATTCAATTTTGAAAGCTGTTCTATGCTGCCTTTTCCAAGCTTAACAAAACTGCATACTCAGTTTTGCTAAAATACTTGCCTATCAAAATGTGAACCAACACAACTCGGCCAAAAATGCATGAAATTCAAAACCTAGTATGCAGTTTTGTTAAGCTTAGAAAGGGCAACTCAGAACAGCTTTCCAAATTGTATTTCATGCGTTTTTGGCCGAGTTATGACGGTTTTTGTAATTTTTTGCTTATATTTTTAATAAATTATAGGTAAGTATTTTAGCAAAACTGAGTATGCAGTTTTGTTAAGCTTAGAAAGGGCAACTCAGAACAGCTTTCCGAATTGAATTTCATGCGTTTTTGGCCGAGTTATGAGCTAAATAGCAAAATAGCTAGATGAGCATGACTGGCAGCTAGTGAGATGCCTATAATTTATAAAAAGCCCCATAACTCGGCCAAATATGCATGAAATTCAATTTTGAAAGCTGTTCTATGCTGCCTTTTCCAAGCTTAACAAAACTGCATACTCAGTTTTGCTAAAATACTTGCCTATCAAAATGTGAACCAACACAACTCGGCCAAAAATGCATGAAATTCAAAACCTAGTATGCAGTTTTGTTAAGCTTAGAAAGGGCAACTCAGAACAGCTTTCCAAATTGTATTTCATGCGTTTTTGGCCGAGTTATGACGGTTTTTGTAATTTTTTGCTTATATGTTTAATAAATTATAGGTAAGTATTTTAGCAAAACTGAGTATGCAGTTTTGTTAAGCTTTAGAAAGGGCAACTCAGAACAGCTTTCCAAATTGTATTTCATGCGTTTTTGGCCGAGTTATGACGGTTTTTGTAATTTTTTGCTTATATTTTTAATAAATTATAGGTAAGTATTTTAGCAAAACTGAGTATGCAGTTTTGTTAAGCTTAGAAAGGGCAACTCAGAACAGCTTTCCGAATTGAATTTCATGCGTTTTTGGCCGAGTTATGAGCTAAATAGCAAAATAGCTAGATGAGCATGACTGGCAGTTAGTGAGATGACAATTTGTCCCAATAAAGAAAATAGCTAGATGAGCATCACTGGCAGTTAGTGCAATGCCATTTTGTCCCAATAATGCAAAATAGCTAGATGAGCATCACTGGCAGCTAGTGAGATGCCATTTTCTACCAATAATGCAAAAAAATAGCTAGATGAGCATCACTGCCATTAAGCCCCCCAATATTGAAATATAGCCAGATGAGCATCACTGATGCAGATGAGCATCACTGATGCAAGCAAGTAAAATTTTTCATTCAATTTGGCCGCTTCCCAAACTGGGGTAACAGGCGAACAGAAACCAGCAGCAAGCAACTGAAAACTGGTATAAACTGTTATAAAAACTTTTGGGCAAAAATAATAATTGGTATAAACTGGTATATTTCATTTTATGCATTTATATCTATTTGTTGCCGACAACAACAGCTTGATGGCAACAACAACCTTTATACAACAACATCCCTACAGCAGCCCATCCAAATTTCCGAACATTTCCATGCAAATTACCCGCTTCCCAAACTGGGGTAACAGGCGAACAGAAACCAGCAGCAAGCAACTGAAAACTGGTATACACTGTTATAAAAAGTCAAAGTTTCAAACCATTTACGAGCCGGCGCAAGTTAGCGGAGACTCAAACCTTTTGAATCCAAATTTAGGTGTTATTTTACAACTGCACCTGGGCACACTGAAACTGATCGTCGTTAAATTCAAATTCAAATTTTGGCAGTTAAATAAAATAATAAAAATTCCGAAAAAAATCTAAAAAATTCAGAAAAAATTTTAAAAATAAAAAAAATAATTCAAAATTAAAAAAAAATTTATGATTAATCTTGTTTATTGTTAAATTTGTCTGCCCAAAAGTATGCCACATAATTTTAGATTTTTCATGCAGAAATGCGTATTTTTACACAAAGTTACCCGTCTTCACCCATAGATTTTAATTTTAAAATAGCATTAAAACGACAGTTTTTGTTTTCTTGTACATTTTTATTGTTTAATTTAAAAACTTTTTTGTTTGGTTTTTTTCACAATAGTTTTTGTTGTTTGTTTTTCTTTTCTTTTTGTATTCTTTCAAAACAAAAATAGATTTAAAGAAGAAAAATATTTTATATAATATTTATTTTTTCTCTTTTGTTTGTTTGTTTGTTGCTCTCTCTCTCTCTCAAGTTGTTTTGTTTTTAATTTTAAGAAACAATCGAGTTCTCACTTATTTAATTATACAAATTTAAAAAAAAAATAGTAATTATATAATATAATAAAAATAATAATTATAACGGGGGAAAAAATGCAAATAGTTGTTTTACGTTTTCATTTTGTTTTGTTTTTGTTGTAGTAGCTGTAGTAGTGTGGTTGTTGTTTTGGGTTTGTTTTGATTTCTATTACTATTCGTTCCATTTTCTCTATGAGAAGCCATTGGGAAAAGGAGAAATGTAAATAAAATATATAGTAAATATATATGTGGCTTTATGTTCTTCTGATTTCTGGATAGGAAGGTGAAAAAGTGAGGTTTGGGAGGGTGTAATAGTTGCAAAAAACGGGGGGTGATCGCTGCCAGGCTTTTTTGGCCAGCGATCGGAATTATATTTGTTGCTTCTTCTTCATCTTCATCATCATCATCGTTATCATCATTAGGGAACAACGGCAGAGGGCTGTTGTTGTTGGTGGTGGTGGTTATTATTATATCTTTCTTTCTTTCTTTTCGGAGACTCGACTCCTTCTCTCTCTCTCTATCTGGCCGTAATATATCTTTACATGTTCTCGAACTGATCGACGCGACGCTTTGTGTTGCCCTTACGGATCTCGCGGAGCGTCTTGTACTTGTCCCTACCCTGGCGCACGTTCTCACGATGAATCTTGTCGTTTGCCGTCTCTTTCGTCTCGTCGCGCGACTGCGCCAGATCCTGTTTCAGGGCCTGCAAACAAAAATTATAATATTATTAGCCATTTTGCAGGATTTCTATTATTTATTCATCATCACCTTGAGCTGATCATGCAAGCGCTCGTTGCGCTCGGCCAGCGTGCGTCTGTCCTCGATGGGGTCCTTGATATGCTCGTCGGTGTCCAGGTCGCGCGACACATCACCGCCAGCATCGCCGTTCGTCAGCTCCTCCTCGTTCTCGTTCTCATCCTCGGCCACATGGTGGTGCTGCGGCGTTGTGGATGCGGCCAGCAGGGCAGCGGCCGCCTCGGCCTAAGGAAAACAATTAAAATAAGAACATATTCCTTAGATTATTTATATACAACTTGTTTAATGAATTCAGTTAATGATTTTAGGATTAATATTATTATCAAGTGCGAATGGAATGCAAGTGTTTTGTTTTATTTTTGATAGAAACCAACATAGCATTCGTTTTCGTACCACACTGACCTGCTTGCGGCGGGCCTCCTCCACCTCGTCCTGCAGACGCTTCGTCTCCTCATCCTTGGCATTGACCTCATCCTGGATGCGCTGCACCTCCATCTGCTTGGCCATAATCTCCTCCTCGAGCTTGGCCTTCTCGGTGGCCTCCAAATGCTTGGCCTCCTCGAGGCGCAACAGCATCGCCTGCAGCTCCTTCTGATGCAGCTCCAGTTCATCCTTGGCGGCCTGCAGCTGCTTCAGCTGCTCCTCCAAGCGACGGATCATCTCCTGGGCCTCCAGCAAGTCGCGCTGCGAGCGCTCCATTTCCTCCTGCATCTGCTTCAGCCGATCCTCATACTCCTGCTGCTTCTTTTCGGCGCGTTCGCGAGCGGCCAGCGCCAGCTGCAGCTTTTCGCTAAAAAAGAAATACACAAAAATTAAATGAAAAAATCAATAAATAATAAATAAACTAACCGTTCCTGCTGTTTGGCATTCTTCTCCTCGCGCGCCTGCGCCTTCATCTGCTGCACATCAATAGTGTCCGGCTTGCGGCGACGCATATAGAGCTCATGGTTGCCCATGCACAGGGCCAGGATGCGCTTGTTGATGCGAACGCGCGGCGCAAAGAACATAAAGTCCGGCGCCTTCTTGTCGATCGGCTTGATGATGAACTTCTTCTCCGAGAAGGAAATATTACGGATTTCGGACCACGGGAAGCCAATCTTGGGTGTGAGGCGATCATCCTGCTCGTAGATATTAAGGCCGAGTGCATCGACGCCCAACCACAGATCGGTGCCCTTCTTGTTCCGGATCTCAAAGTAATTAACGCCATACATCTCCAGATCCTGGGCAATCTTCAGATACTCCATCATGGCGTCCTCGCGCAGCATGCTGCGATGCTCCTGCCACCAGGTCATAATCGATTGCTCCCACTCCTCCTTGGACATCTTGTGCTGGTCAATGACACGCTGCGGCAGCAGACGATCATTGGCCAGAAAGCCGGCTGTGTGTGTGGTCTTGTTATGGTCACCGTGACGCGCCTGGACGGCATACGAGGCCAGCAATACGGATGTCTCGGGCGGACAATAGATCTCGTCGGTCAGTATGGCATTCTTCACCTGCAGATAAAACAGGCGCAGTGTAATGTCCTGGATCAGCTCCTCGGCCACGTCCTCGGGATAGAATTTGGCGCGGAAACGGAACTGCAATGGATTCTCCTTCTTCACATCCTGGTTCATCACCTAAAGGGAGAAGAGAAACAGAGAGAGAGGGAATGGTATTTATTATTATAAATTATATACATTTTATCTAAAAATATAAAACATAAAAAAGAAATACCTTCAAGCTCTTTAAATACGTTCTAGCTTTGTTAATATGGTAAATAAATTATAAAAATAGTTATAAAAACATTAAAAGTAAACAAAAATGGTGCACAGAGTGCACTTAGAATTCCCAAGTCGGAATTTCGCAATGTTTGCTGATGAGTTTTTGAGGTAAAAGCAAAAAAGACTGTACAAACAACCTCATAAAAACACAAAATAGTTTTATAAAATTAATAAATAACTTTAAAAATATAACAAAATACAAAATAAGTAAAATAAAATTATTATAAATAAAATAAAACTATTATAAATAAAATAAAATTATTATAAATAAATAAACTAATCTTATATTTATATTTAGTGCATTTGTGGTCTCAAGTGTTACCCATGTCGAGAACGGCATTGATCCAGTCTGTTGTTATTGTTGTTGTGCAGCATTAAATATTTAAATAATTTTTAATAAATTTATAAATATTTATATTAACTTTTAAACATTAAACTTAAGCTAGTCTTTTGAGAGGTATACATAAAAAACAAGGATCATTTACTAGGAGCTATGCAGCTATGGTTTCTCGATTCTAGCCAGGGATATTTTAAAGGATTTTTTATGGGATTTCATATTTTTCTGCTAGATATGTTCAGTTATAATCCCACCATATCATCGGCATCGTCATCGTCTTCACTGGTCTCCGCCTGATTCAATCCATTATTGTCAGCGGCTGTCTTTTTGTCCACATACTTCTTTACACGCTTCAAATATTTCATGGTCTTTATGGCCGGCGATTCGGGCTATATTATATTATATAGCATATGTATATTATATATTTAAAAATTATTAATAAACAATTATTACTTATTTCCTTATAAAATGATTATTTTTAAAGATTCTTGTTTTGGAATTTTTGAAATAGGAAATTAATGCATAAAATTTCCGCGATAATTACCAAATAAATTATTTTAATTTCCTGATTTTCCTAAATTCTTATTTAGAGATTATAAATAGCTTCTTAGTAAATAATTAAATTATTAAATATTTCAATTACCTAATTCCCCTAATTTCTTAATTAATATGTACAAAATTCCCTTTCCAAAATTAGTAATAAATTCTTACTCTTAATTTTCGTTGGGTTTTAATATATCTTGGCTAGATTCTTACCTTTTTGTACAGCTTGATCCATGTCAGATCGCCCTTTGAGTCGGTGTACTGGAGGCCAAAGAACCACACCTCACGCAGGCCGATCGTCTTCACCACTTGGTCAAACAATTGTTTGCCCGTCGTCGTCGACTGGATGGCGAACTCCAGTTCCGCGTCCATTGTCGTGACGCGCACATTTAGCTGAAAGGAAATAATTAATAATAATTAAAAATTAATTGAATTCATTAAGAATTAAATAAAAAGGAAAATAATAAGAATTAATTAAATAGAAAATAATAAAAAATAATTAAAAATAGTATTAAATATTAATTTATAATTAAAAATATGATTAAATATTTATTTATAATTAAAAATGATATTAATAGAATTTATGGTTTAAATTTTCTAAAATATTTTCAGCTTCATAATTGTATTATTTTTCCTATTAAACCCATTTTTACTTAATTTATAAAATTATTTATAAAAATAAAATAATTTCTCAGTATTCGAAGCGTGATATATCCCTGTTTCCTATCAGACTTCATTTTAATTTAATTTTAGAAATTAAATACACAAATCAAGTCATTTCTCGGTACTCAAAACCTGATATATCCTCAGTTTCCTGCCTTGACTTTAAATCAAAACGAAAGGCATTCCATCAGCTGAACAAACACCTTTGGCAATTATCGATAGATACGACACTCTATGGGTTGGTGTGTGCCAAAAAGGGGAGACTCTTGTGGGGAGGGGTCGGTCTTGTTTGGGGGTCGTCGATGGATTAACGGGATTTGAGCCAACATGCGAGGAGGGCACGTGCCAACCAAGAGCTCTCATTTCGCGCCCGGGGATTGGATTCGATGGCAAAAAGCAAACAGCACACTTGGCAGCTTGCATAAGTCGGGCTTTCGACTCAAAACGCACGTTTTCCCGAAAGGGGAAAGGCGGGTGAGGGGGAGGAAGAAATACTGGGTGGAAATCACTTGGAAATAAAGAAGAGAGAAACGAAAGCGGGCCGCTGTGAAAAATCACGCTCGGAATACAGCAAAAAATCAATCAGGCATGAGAGACAATGACAGCAAAAGAGTCAAAGAAATGGAAATAAATGGAAGGCAAGACAGGGTTAAAGGGAAGAGCACAGGCACAGCACAGGGTCCCTAGAAATATTACCAATAGGTACACGGGGAACCCCACTCTCTCACCTGTAGTACCCAACCTACAATGAAAGCCACCCACTTTGGACACATGACAAAAGCGCGTGAAGGGTCAACTGTACTTATTACTGTTTTCCTTTTGTTATTAAGACATTTCCTAAATAAAAAAGTTAGGAATGTTAAAGGAATCCGGAATCTAGGGGAAGTAATATTGCTATAGGATAAAGGATTAAATAAAGAAAGTAAAACAAGACTTTAAATTATAAAAAAATGTAAATTAGTACAAAAATAAATAAATAAATCAATTTTTAATTAGGAAAAAAAATCCCTCACTTGACCCTATTATTCCTAACTAGTTCTAGCATCTTCAGAGTGGTAACCCAGCCGAATGTTGCGGTCGAGTGGTAAAGGTAGGTGGTTGTGTGGTAGTGTCGTAGTGCGGTAGTGGTTACTACCTCCTAAAATGGCTCCTACTTGTTGTGTTACAGTGTACCTTATCTTTGTTTTGTAGCTTAGTGCTATGGGTTTAGGAGAGAGTTTGTAGACCCAAACAGAGCGAGAGAAAGGGTGAAAACTAGCAGATATCAGAGACAGATCATGCACAGAGAGAAAACAAGGAGATTGATCAATTAGAGGAAGGAACTAGAGTGATGTGAGTATACAAAATACATATTCTTTAACTTAAAGATTAAACAATGCTTAAATTATAAAAGTTTTGACTACCAAAATAACACTACCCAATGAAAAATGGTAAAACTTGAAGACAAAACGAACAGTTTCAAGTAAAGTAACAAGATTGTCGGTTAGGTTAATTTTCAAATTAAAATTGATTAGACTAGTAAATAAATATTGTTATTTTATATTATAAATTAGAATTAACTTAGAATTAAATAACGCTCTTAGGAATTTTTTGATTCCATTTAAGCTTTCTTATGGTTTTTTTTTTAAGCATAACTAATTTTTTTGTAAAATTACACATATTATTTACCAATACTTTTTCACATCCAAACAAACATTCCTAAATTTCTTCATCAAAATAAAAAACCTACTAAAATTTCAAATTTTCCTAGAGTAAATTTCATCATCATTCCAATTGTTTTTATTTTTTATTCTTCTTTTTTTTAGCTTTTATCGTTTTGGCGCATTGTTTGGTTTTTTGCTGCCGCTGTTGTTTGGTGAATGCAAATCAAACGTGACACAATGCTAGGAAATTAAAAACGTTTTTCATTTCAATCCAATTAACGTTTTTGGGTTAATGCAACCAACGTGGTTGCTTGCCTCTCTGCTTCGGTCTCTGTTTTGCCTATTTCTTTTGTTTTTTCCCTCAACAATAACAACAACCACGAAACAAACAACAACAACTATCCACCAACGGAAGTTAAAGTCAACAAAAACCAGTTTAAGTGCATTTTTGATCTCCAAAAAATGTTGGATTTTGTCTCATTTTCGCAGCGGAAGCCACAAAAATGCACACAGGCCACAAAAAAAAAATCAGAAAAAAAATACAATATAAATTTTCCTTTAACAAAATGTTTTTCCAGGAAAATTTTGGTGGCGTACCGTTTTCCGTTTGACACTGACTCCGCCGTAACGCGGCAAACGGACGCGGCTGTCGGCGGAGACGACAACCATTTTGGGCACCGAAAAAGGGTTTCGCAGTAATTTTTGAATTATTACGCTTTTCTATGCTAATCGCCGGTTGAGAAAAAATAAAAATACAAGTTTAGATTCACAAAATCCAGTAAAACTCGGAAAAGCACGGGAAAATACAATAGCGCGCCCGGCGTTCAATGCGATTCTGTTGTCCAGCGGCAACTGAGGAAAATGGAAAAGTCACGGCACGTTTTTAAGCCAAAAAAAAAAAAAAAAAAAAGAAAAGACTGCGGAGGAAAGCAGAAAAAGAAAGAAAAGTATGGGGGGAAAATCGTTGGAACACTGAGAGAAGGAAGGGGAAGGAAGAAAGAAGCGCCGACTAAGGGAAACGCGGCAAAAGTGAACTTAATTTCTGTCGAAAGGGCCGGCTGGGGGCTTCACACACATTTGTCCGAGTCATTCGTTGTCAAGTTAATATAAATTGCATGTTAATTGTGCATCTAAAAATAGACAACCATTTCAGAAAAAGAAGGAAGCAAAACTGACACTCTGACAGACAGACTGCTGACCATAGAGGTCAAAACTAGGTCTACTACACATATACGCCCAGTGTAGGTCAAAGTTGGTGGGATTATTAAGAGAAATTTTGCATGTTTTGCTTAATAAATATTTGTTTAACCTCTGGTTAGGTATTTTAAACTTCTGGCTAATAATTTATCAAGTCTGTTTTACCTCTGGTTAATTAATAAAAATCCTTTTAATCGTTTGTAAATATTTAAAAACATTTTAAGAAATAACCAAGTTTAAGATTCCTTTAAAAATTAATAGATTCTCTACAAATATATTTATCCTCAGGTTAAATTAAATATGAAATTTGCTGGTAATTTAAAATGTAATAGTTCTTATTTACAATTTCATAGTTTTTTTTATTTAATTTTTAGTAATTCAACAAAAACTTTTTGAAAATTAAAACAAATATACAAATTAAAAAAATAAATTAAATATTAAAAATAAATTCCATAAAAAATAATAAACAAAACCTTGCCATATTTGCCATATAACAATTATTGAAAAAATATACAACTAATAATTGCCTTCGGTAAATTTAACAAGTTGTTCATTTTGCATTAACATGTGAAAATTGTAATACAATTAATAAAAATTTATTAAAAAATGTATATAATTCTGAAACTATATTTTGTTGACTGCTGCTGCTTTAGAGAGAGAGAGCCATAGACCCAGCCCCAAGGTGGGCAGCAAACAAATCAGCGTCAATCATACGACGCGTTGGCTGTCAGTTCGATTTTATTGAAGCTCCAAAGCGACCGAACCTCCGAACAGCAATTAACCTCTCCCCAACTATTGCCAACTGAACAAACACACCAATATATATACCTATATATATTGAGGAAAACTATATGGAAAGAAAAGGGAAAGTTATGGAGAAATCATTCAAGCACGATTTGCATTGACTTAAAGGTGCTTTTTAGAGGAAAATTTAGCAAAAATGGAAAACTAAGGCAAGTTTTTAAAGTATATATATAATGAAATATTTCTTATTTCTCCTTCTTCCAAAACATTCTCAATCACGTGTCTATAATGAAAAACCTTTAACAATCCATCCATCAAGTGATCAAGTGATTACTGCGAAAGTCTCGTCTGATACGAGTGATTTCTTTCCCCAATTTAATAATAACCATAAAAGGCCTAGAGGGGAGAGGGAGGAAGCCATATCAATGACGTCGAGAGTCTCTTTTTAATCTCATTTTCCTGCCAAAAAAAAAATTAAATATATGATGAAATTTTTTGGGCAAATGTCCAAAGATTGCACAGACACAGACTTAACAAACAAAAATAATAACAAAAACGACGTCAATAATAGAGCAACCATGACGTCTTTGGGCCCAAAGGAAGCTCGCCGCTTCCTGCAATTGACGACAATTCGTAGTGTACTCGTTCGAGTGCTCTCGATAAGGATTTCTTAAACATTTCTGACAATTTCTGACAACACCGACAACTGATAACTGACAACAGAGGCTTCGAGTTAATAACTAATCTTTAATAATTTACCAACGTTTATCGATACGAGCTTCTGGCCAATTGATTCCACAATTTATGGCTGCTTTTATTTTGTGGAATATTTTCAAGTTTATAAAACTTGAAATTAAACATTTATCAAATAAAAACCTCCATAATGCTACAAATTTATTAAGTACTATGCAAACACTTACCGCTTTTGGAGACATCTTGCTGCTTGTTGTCTTTTCTTATTTCGGTGGCAACGAAATGCTTACTTCCGGGCGATTTTCTCGTCTTAACTGTTCGTTGTTATTATTGTGCTGCAATCTGTAAATAATAAATAAAGAATATTTAATAAAATAAGTGTATATAAATATTTATTTAAAACTATTCTGGCTACACCAACTTTTCACCAGCAACTAAGGAAGTGAATAAAGCCACTGAGGTGGCAAAGATATTTAACTGAAAAAGGCCAAGAGCTATTGCTCAGTTGAAAAATAAAGATAAATCTATGATTAATCAAGGAAAACGTTTTACTATGATGAATCAGTCGGTTAGGTAGCTTAAGTTTATGTGCTTAGCTGTCAAGTTGTTGTGTTAAATGTGTCACCGAAATGTCAACATTGTCTGTGTATGTGTGTATATATGTATGTACCTCCTTTCAAGGCCAATAGTTGTGGCCTTAAATAATTAATAAAGCAACACTGCATATTGATTTATTTACCAATTTATTGACGCTCTACGTTATTTTCTAGTTGCAAATGGAAAGCTCACGATATGAATGAATAATGAACCCCTTCTTTTTTGGCACTCGCTGTATAATTCCCCCACAAATTGCATATATCTATATGATATAATATCACATCTAGCACATGTGGTTATATCTGGTATAGATTTTTATTAGTACTTATGATTTCACCTGGCACTGTGACAAGAAAAGTGCACAAGGTTTTTGGTTTTTGGTTGCTAAATTGATATATATAAAGTTTCGCTTCCTGATAATCGTTAAAAGTCTGTGCTTTAGAGTCTGAACTTTGCTTATTCCACTTGGCAACCAGTTGAATTCATGGAAACTACAAACCGTAAATGATCTCTTACTTTGCAAATATGTTTATATTTCATAATTTACTTTTTGTTGCGGAAAACCAAGTCCAAAAAAAAAAACAATCTGGCTTTTATAATTTGGCTTTGTTTGTTTGTCTGTTTGCTTCCCCATTTGGTGTGTGCACTTGATATTTACATTAACAAATGGCGTAAAGATTCTATTTTCAGAGCTTGGAGGATGGCCGACTGCCGCCTGCCTGCTACCAAATATGTGTATGAATATCCAATTAAATTTGACACAATTGACATATGAACTGGCTGCCAGGGGAGGGCAGGGAGGGCGAGGGTTCACGGGACAAACCATGACGTCAATGGATTCGCAAATAGTTTTAGTTTTGGTCGAGGTTTTGCTTTTTATTTTGACTTTGCGGTGAGTATTTTTTCTTGATTTTCTTTTGATTTCGTTTTCCAAGGAAATGCAAATAAATATTTTAGAGATATTTGCTTCGGATATACCTTAAGTCAGAGTTGTACAATATGATATATTAGCAAATATAATATCAAACAGTATATCGATTTATCCTACATATATCGCATGTTAAAAATATATAGATTTATATATTGGATTTCATACCAATTATTGATATAGTATCGATATCCCAACTAAAAAGTTTCTAACAAATGTATACCCTTTCAGGGTATTCTAATTTCAGTCTAAAGCTTGGAATACAATGAAGGAGTCATTTCCGACCCTATAAACCATATATATTCTTGATCAGCAGTACTAGGCGAATCTTTCTGGCCATGTCTGAAAGAAAACATTTTTTTTCCATTTTTTTTCAAAATTTTATAAATTTTACATCGTTAAAATAAACAAAAATTGGAAAAAATTAAATTTAAAAAGAATTTAGATTTAGTATGCAGAATTATTAATCTTATAAAAACCGTTTTTGTTTCCGATTTGAATTTAAAGCATTTTTGGCTTAGTGATGAATTTTTAAAATTTAGATTTTTTCCCAAAAATACAAAAATAAAAAAAAACACTAAAATAAAAGAGATTTCTGATCACTTTTTCACTTATTCCAGTCAACCACAAAATATAGTTTACACAAAAAAAGACTTGGATTTATAGATATACATATATACAAAATAAAAAACAAGTGTTTTTTATCAAATTCCTAGAAAAATAATAATTTGCCCTTAAATTTCCTTGAACAGCTGAGAGATAAACTCGAATCAATTCCTTGAATATTGTTTCCTTTTCTGTATATAAATTTTTGTAGATGGGTATTCACATAAATTTATAATGACATCATGCGATATTTATTATCGCCACGGCGTGAACTTGAAGAGGGCTCCCTCTAAAAACAGCAAAAATAAGAAATAACCGAAATGAAATGAGCTCATATGGCTGCTTCTGTTTGGTTTGGGTTTTGTGGATTTCTTTCTGCTAATCAACGGTTGGACACATTCCACTGGCCTGATATCCGATTCGGAGTCAAACGTGTCGCTCGACTCGACTCAGTCGCTCTTCTCCATGATTAAGTGCATCCTGCCGGCACTTTTTCTTTGCTTTTCGCAGCATTTTTTGCTGATTTTCTGCTTTTATGAATGAAATGAATAGAGTCGAACGCAATGCGTCACTTCCTTTGCTGCTGATTCAAACTTAATTGCGATTTTATTTTATTTAATTTAGACTTTTTTTATACACACACTATACCACGGCTTTGATCACTTTGCGGCGGAAATGATTTGGCGGATTTATACAGAAAAAAAACATTTAAAACTTTAATTCCAAAAGGGAGAGGTCAATGTTCAGTTGAAATTAATGGAAATTACAAGGGTTTTCATTTGTTGTTAAACCTAAATATCATCAGCATTTACTTTATTACTATTTTTTTTATAATTGAATTGTAAAGCCAAGCTTTGGCAATTTTTAAAGTATTATTTCAAGCTTTTCTTAATAAATTTTAAACGTTTTACATAACTTTCGGTTTCAGTTTCGCCTTTTTGGAGACACCACCCCCCTAGCTTTGTTTTATTTATGTTTAATACCCATTTAACTACATTAATGAGTTCAACTTGAACGCTGGAAAAATCGAGGCTCACGTTTATTGTTTGACCACCGGAACAAAACCACACGAAAAAATGGATAAAAACAAAAGAAACCAAAAAGAAAGACATAAAAAAATAAGACACTTAATGAGAGAGAAAAACTGTTATTGCGTATGCGCCACGCATTTTTAAAATCTATCAATTTAAATGGAGAAAAATGAAGAAAACGAGCGACCCCAAGTCATCGCTTTTACTTTTCTTCAACACAATAACAATAATAATAATATTAATAATAATGAGCCTCGTCGGCCGGTCACTTTTAATTTCAACAATTATTTGTCTTTTTCGTTTTTCACTATTTTTCTTCGTTTTGTTTTCATGCCGCGTTGAGTTTTTCTCCCTAAAAATAATTAAAATGCTCTGCCAAAGGCAATCAAGACCAAATAAACTATATAGTATATATATGTTTGTGCTAGAGATATTCACGGATATATATAGCATCATTTTTATGAATGAATATCGGCGGCGGACAAGCAAAGAGAAACAGAACAATAACAAAAAAACAAGAACCAAGAAAGTAGCTGGGAAAATCTTAATTACATTAGAATTTAGTTCCCTAAACAGCTGTTCATTAAGTGTTGAGACAAAAACAACAGCAATTTATCAAGTGGCAGACGGTTTTTTTTTCTTAAAAAATAAAACTATTTCAATACAAATTTTCTGTAATGTGTGGACTAGGGAATACCTTGTAGTTCTTCAACAAATTGTAATATTTAATGCTTCTTTTTTAACTACTAATTTTAATTGGAATAAATTATTTTATTTTTTTCTGGGTTTTATTATAATACTAAGCCATTTTTTTTTAAGAAAAATTAAATATTTAAATCATTAAAAATGCCTATAATAATTAAATGATAATTTACAATATAAAAAACCTTGATTAAGAATACATTAAATTATTTAATGATAATTAAAAATAACAAAATTACTGACCAGCAATCAAAGAAGTTTAAAAAAGGCCATAATATTTCCAATTTCCACTTTTAATTCTTCTTAAATTACCAAAAATGGTAATGCCTAAAAATCACCTCATAAAATATATAATACCAAAGTCTATAGTTTATCCCATTATCTCTGAACAAACTAAAAACATTGAAGCTCTAATATTAATCCCAGAGAAACTCATCAGCCTGACGTCAATTTTTCATCCTCAAAGAAAGAATAAATAAAAGGTACAAAACAAAATGAAAAAGAGAACAAAATGCAGATGGAAAAAAATAACAAATGTGACGATTTAATGAAGCAAATTAGGCTTAAATGTTCTAGATAGCTAAAAAGCAAACAAAATTGCGCACGTAAAGAAAATATATGACAGCGGCAAAAAGTAAAAAAAGGAAACAAAAAATACAATGAATAAAAAAGAACGCACACACATACACACACAAGTCAGAGACACCAAAGAATGGGAATTAAAAGGGGGTAGTGAGAGACACCTCACGGATGAGAAATGAAAACATTAGCTATGCCGCAATTAGCACAGCACGCAAATACATAAGGAATTCCCTTTTTTTTAACCTTTGCAGGGTATTATAACTTCTTTTCTCGCTTTCTTGTTGATCAGCATTAACAGGCGAGTTTATCTAGACATTAAGGATATATGTATAAATAAATAAATAAATATTAAAGAAATAAATAATTAAAGAAAATAAATAAATATTAAAGAAATAAATAATTAAAGAAAATAAATAAATATTAAAGAAATAAATAATTAAAGAAAATAAATAAATATTAAATATAAAAAAGAAAAAGAAATCCCCTGCTTAACCCTATAATTCCCAACTAGTTTTAGCATCTTCTGAGTGGTAACCCAGCTGAATGTTAAGGCCGAGTGGTCGAGGTGGTGTGTTTGTGTGGTAGTGACTACTCTCTCCTAAACAAGTAGCTACTTGTATTGTTGTGTTTCATTATCCCCTCTCTGTTTAGCAGCTAAGTGCTACGGGTTTATTCCCTATTTGAGAGAGAGATAGAGAAAACCAGCAGATATTACTGGAGCGAGTTTGAGATCAGAGAAAAACAAGGAGATTGATCAATCAGAGAGATCAGAGAGTACACAAAATATTTACCTTTCTTTAGATTAAAGGTCTCGTTAATCTTAAGAATAAATTGAAGTAAGACATCTTCAGGAAAGCAATTTAAATTAAAAAACTCTCCAATTTACAAAGCTACAA